TCTGCCGAGCCACAACCGTGTGCTCTAGGCTAGCTATATCCATGCTCACTACTGTTTTGATGTTGCCTCAGTTGTATTGTTTCCTCGTTAATCAATCCTTCGACACACACTCTTTGTGCTTCATTACAAGCGGAATTAGGTCAGGCACACCTTGCAAGCCGAAACCACTTTCCCACTAGGCCGCCCGATGCTCCTAGCATGCCTGGCGTGGCAAGGCGATGTGGTGGGACGTGAAGCGTTGACGTCCAATAGATGGTCCCCCCCACCCATGCCATCCATGCCAGGACAACATCTCAACAGTTTTGCTACTGTACCGTCCTTCCTTGGTCCTAGAACAGTCGCTTTACCTCCTGACCAGGGGTGCTCTACTGAATGCGACGAGGCACTTTCGCATCTGGAGAGAGTTAAGGTCTGGTCCTAGACCGCACGACGTGGCACCACATCTATCATTCCACTCCACGTGTGCTGAGCCACTTTGTTGCGCCGTTGCTCTCCGCCCAGCAGTTTTCGACGAGCCCGCGAGGAGCATTCCATGCTTGTCTTCATCTCGCTCGTTCCTTGCCTCGCTACGATTGATGCGACGCTTTTCTTTCAGAGCCACCGCTGCCCGTCAACCCGCAAAATGTGTCGCACAGCCCGGAAGGTACAGGCGCATCGGGCGCTGCTGCACCGCGTCCTTGTGCTGGGAGTCGCCGTCGCTGACGCCGCTCGGCGTACAGCACTGCTCCCTCCTCAGCATGCTTTCCCTAATGATTGTTTGAATGTTCAGCTGCCGCGAGGGGAAGAGTCATCCAGCGCGCCGAGCATAGCAAGCGACACAGTGCGCACGTCAGCGATGCGGACAAAACGAATTTTGCGAGGCAGCGAAACGAACACCACGTCACGTGCAATCATGTGACGGTAGTGTATCGTCCCCCACCCCCCAGACCCATTTGCGGGGTTGGTCCATCTTCCATCACTTGCCGGGATGGGAAGATCAGCTCTCTCCCATCTCTTCCCCGCTCTGCCCTCTCAGGGCGGCCGCACGTCGCAAGGCGCGTCGCTACCAACGGCCTGTCAACCAGCAGTGCGCGAGCGCGATCACAATGCCGAGCTGGCAGATTCCGCAGAAAATCTCGTTTTGTACCATACTGTGCCGTACTGTGCTGCCCCCAGCCTCTGCCGCGGCCGCTGGCGCACTGCGGCCTGCTCACTGTGGCTAAAAACCCAAAGCAAGCCCTGAAGCAAGCCCTGGCAAAAGCAGGAGATTGGCGCGTGGCTGGCGCGGCGCAGCGAACAAGTTGCTCGGTGTTGAGGCAGGGGAGTGTGGAATGGCGTTGCGCTGATGACAGCGGTGATGGGGTGGGATGTGTGGGATGGGCGCTGGGCTCAATCGTGGGATGGAGTGAGTGAGGGGGACGAGAGTGAGGAGTGAGCAGCATAGGCGGTAGCATAAGAGCGAGCAACATGAGAGTCGGAGTGTGCATCTGTCGCAGTAGTGTTCATTCTTGTTCGTATTCACGCAAAGCAACCCTCCGAGCTTGGAACGCCTGCGCTGCTCGTACCACCACCACCACCAGCACCACCACCACCAGCAGCAACAGCAAGCGGCACGAGCAGCGCGATAACCGGTTGGCTTTGAGGCACCTCAACGGCTGCTCAGATCGCAGCAGTGCGCGCACTGCTGGAGAGCAGCAAGAGTGCAGCAATGAGTGCGCGTCAAGAGGTTCTGCTGCCGCCTCGGCAGCATGACTATCAGCATGACTCACCTCATGGCCGTGCCTTGGCGCCCATCCAAAGAGATTCCGTGGTGCCTGGTAGAGCAGCCCTCGGTCCCCATTCGCCCCACAGTCTGCCTCTCAAGCCGTTGCCCATCACGGGAGATGGCTTTGAGCCACCTCAGCAGCGTGGCACTGCCATGCTCATGCCGCCGCTCCCTGGGCCGGAGGCGCGCGCACACGAGGGGGCGAGTGGCGGGGACGCGTTTAGGTGGAGGAAGGCGTTGCACAAGCGCATCAGAGGCACCGGCCAGGACGTGAAGAGGTGTGCCCTCCCCTGCAACCGCTGTTCCTTTTTCATCGCTCACTCTTGTTCTCTCCTTCTGTTGCCGTTTTGTTCTCTCGCTCTGTTTTCCCTCTCTCTCCCTTTCCCTTGCCTGTTTTCATTGCAGCCGCTGCTGCTGTGTGGCCGCAGCCGTCTTGCCTTAAAACGCAAGCACTCCCCATGCCGCCCCTCTCCCTGCTCGCGCCTGCTGCAGGCTGTACCTGGTGTGTGCGAGCCGGCACGCCACGGGGTGCCCGGCGCGGAAGGTGGAGGACCGCGTGGCAGGAGAGGCCCGCCCACGCTGACGCACCATCAGAGGCGCCGTCTCAAAGGCTGCTGCTGCCATCCGTGGGGTGGCATTCAGGGGAGCAGTTGGAGGGGCGTCGTTGGGACGTGCGGAAGATGACGATGCAGGGAGGCGGAGGACGAAGATGCGCATGGTGTATCGCGGCACGCACAACCGCCCCCCTACACCTCCTGATGCTCCCCAGGCTAGGATCTCCCTTCCTGCTACAGCGCTTTCTACTTCTCCGACTTTTCCTGCTACTGCGACCTCCCCTGCTGCTCCAACTTTCCTACCCGCTGCGGCCTGCCTGCCACCCCAACCCTCGCAGCGGCCTGCACTTCCCACACAAGGTGCAGCCGTCCCACACACTCCGCACAGTGCATCCTCCCACCCGCCGTCCTTCTCTGTGCCTGTCCACATGGTCACAGCTCTCTCTTTTGACACCCCGCCTCTTCCTCTTCCCCCTCCTCCCGCTACTACCCTTTCAGCTTCCATCCCTCCTTCACTTCCCATGGCAACTTCCCATCGGCCTGCCAAGCCTGAGCAGCCCGTGCTGCGGCAAGCGCGCCCCTCTCTGGCAGTCCCGTGCCATCTCCACCTCCCTCATCGCAATCCCTCTTCCCATTCTAGTCTTTACACGCTTGCGTCACCTCCACCCTTTCCCCTCGCTGCCTTCCTTCTGTCCCTCCATCGCCCGCCACTCCCTCATCCCCCTCTTCTTCCGCCCCGCACCAATCAGACAGCTCTAGAACACGGTGGGAGCAGCATGGCGCAAGCTGCATCGGTGCTAGAAACCAGTCCGATGGTTTGGTGCTGGCTTGACTCTAGCAGTGATAACCATGTCATAGTTGCGCTTGCTGCTGCCGCGTCTCGTTCACCCGCCAGGCCAGGCGAGTGCATGCGCAGGCTGAGCGCGGAGGAGCAGGGCGTGCGGGAGCGAGTGCAGCAGTGGCGGGTGCAGCAGCATGCGCATTGACGGGGCATGGAACAAGTGCGAGCAGCACAAGCTGATTATCAGGAGGATCAAGTGAAGCAGGAGCAATCTCATCAGTTGAACCTAGGACATGAGCAGCGCCAGCACGAGCAGTGCCAGCACCAGCACCAGCACCAGCAGCAGCAGCAGCAGCACCGGCAGCGGCAGCACCAGCTGGCTCTCCTCTGCACAGAGCAGCTCTCACCCCAACCTACTGGGTGTGCCCCTACTGTCGAAGCTGCTGTTGCATCTGCAGCCCCACGCGCCCCTGCAATCACACCTCGCATCCCTGCCGGCGCAAGGCTCTGCACGGTCACATTGAAGCAGCGCACTCTGTCAACGTGCCTCCCAAGCCTCTCGCGGTGCACGCACACTGCACCGAGGCAACCGCAGTTGCTAATGGCACTGCGGCACGTGGCGGCGGTGCGGATGCTGGTAGTGAAGGCACCTGGCGTGCTTCCATCCTTGACCAAAGCGTGCCTACGCTGCCAAGCTTGCGGCATACGAGCAGCGTCAAGGGGCCATCGAATGGTGCTGCCACGACAGCATGTGATGTTTCGGAGCTGCAGTAGCAGAGAGCGTGGGAGCAGCAGACAGTGAGTCAGTGGCTGCTCACATCCCAGCAGCACTCGCAGCACTCTCAGGCAATGATGCAGCCACTGCAAGGAGCTGATGTGGTGGGCGGTAAGGCCAACAGCATGAGCTGCACGTCACAGGTTGCCACAGGTCCTACCAGCTTGATTGATCTCGATACAAGCACACTCAACACGGCAAGGATCTCCTTCTCCTGTATCAACATGAAGCCGGACTCCAGTGTCAAAGAAGCTTAGGACACTAACTAAACTTAGGAACCTAGCTTAGCTAGGAAGCAAGGAAGAACGCCATGGAATGGCGTGAGGAAAGTAGATCTAGGAAGGGAGTAGAAGTGACGAGAAAGAAGAGAGTGCAATTAGGAAGAGAGAGAGGTACAAGGAGGGGATTGTACCCTCTACTGAAAGGTTCAGTAACACTACCAAGCCTAACAATTATATAACTTGATATATAATTTTAACATCCAGCAGCGAGTCAAGTTACTGTAGCAACACGAGAAAATACCTCTGTAATGCTTTTATAATTGCCCAAGGCAGTAGCAGCAGCAGCGGCCCCAGGCAGAGCAGCACGGGCAGGTGTGGCATGGAGTCGTGGCTGTGTGGGGCCATGGTGGACCATGGAGCGCATGTGGAGCCGTGTGCGCACGCCCACTTGGATGGCGTGTGCACGAGTCCCAGTGACCTGCTCGTGGCCCCGGATGGCACCGCCCAGTGCCAGGCAGTAATGCAGGGCCTTGAGGATTCGGACCTGCTGAGTGCGTGTGGTGGGGCGCAGTGGTGTGACAACATGGACTTAATTCTGGTTGAATGTGCTCGAGAGATCATGCTTGATGGCGATTTGTGCCTGTTATGTGTTCCATAGCTCTTTTATTCTGTCAGCTACCTAGCATTTATACATACATGTAATGAAAATGTATGAGAAAATATATACATAACTTTGGATGATTGCCTAGGAATAACTTCTACACACGAGTCATTTAGTCGGTGGATGTTATGAATGGGACTGCCGAGTAGCGCGGAGATGCAACGGCTTGTCCCACGTTCTCGCTCAATACCATTCCCAGCCGTGTCAGAACGTTGTTTGGCGTTTCCTGACCGAAGAATATCTCACGCAACCGCAAGCAACCGTACGACCTAAGCTTGAGCACCCCGACGAACGTGAGAAATACGTTTCACACCAGTTTGCACCGCACGACGACATCGTCTGCGGTCTGCGCTAGTCCCTCAGCACGTTCGCCTTGGTCTACGCTCTAACAAGGACTCAGCATACGCGTTCCGACTCGCGCGATCGCCTTCAACACGCTCTCGCCTTCCTCCGCACCGGTGCCGCCACGTGCGCTCCATCGCCGACCGCTGCCACTTCACCAGTTGCGGCTCGCCGCGCCCTAGCCAAAGGATCTAGCGGCGGACAGAGGAGCCCCGTTTGTGTTACACTCACGCAGGTAGGAATCTGCGATTCGCGCGGGTACGCAGCTACCACCCATGCATTGACGGTCGACGGCGACGTCAGCCAGAGCAGCCTCTCAACGCGCGCGTCCATCCCTCGCGAGGCCCGCGCCCTGCGCCCACCCGCCATCTCCCCAACAGCTGCGCACCGCTGCCCCTCGCCAACCGCTCGCATACTCCCTTCCTGCATTCCGCCCCTTCCACTCCCCGCACCTCTCTTTTCCGCCTCCTTTCACTCCCTTCAACCCTCTCATCCCCTCCCCCACTCCCCCGCACTCTCCGCCTCCCCCTCCCCTCTTCCCCTCCCCTTCTCTGTCGTCGTTCTCTCTCCCCATACCCCCTTCCCCGACATGCACGGGCACATGGCACACGTGGAAGAGCATAGGTACACGTGGAAGAGCATAGGTACACGTGCGAGAGCATAGGTACACGTGCGAGAGCATAGGTACACGTGGAAGAGCATAGGTACACGTGCGAGAGCATAGGTACACGTGCGAGAGCATAGGTACACGTGGAAGAGCATAGGTACACGTGGGAGAGCATAGGTACACGTGCGAGAGCATAGGTACATGTGGAAGAGCATAGGTACACGTGGGAGAGCATAGGTACACGTGCGAGAGCATAGGTACACGTGGAAGAGCATAGGTACACGTGGGAGAGCATAGGTACACGTGGGAGAGCATAGGTACACATGGGAGGGCATAGGGCACACGTGCTAACCGCATTCGCTTCTCATCTCTCTTCGCCTTCCCTCCCCCACGCTCCTCCCTCCCTCACCCTCCCTCGTACCCCCCCACACCCCACCCACGTCCCCCACAGTGACGCCCTATCGTGTCCCAACTCTCCATGTCCCCTGCTCTCTTGCCAATCAGCCGCCCCTTCTCTCTCTTTACCGCCTCCCATGCTCCCATGCTCCCATGCTCCCATGCTCCCATGCTCCCATGCTCCCATGCTCCCATGCTCTCATGCTCCCATGCTCCCATGCTCCCATGCTCCCATGCTCCCATGCTCCCATGCTCTCATGCTCCCATGCTCCCATGCTCCCATGCTCCCATGCTCCCACGCTCCCATGCTCCCATGCTCCCATGCTCCCATGCCCACATGCTCCCATGCTCCCATGTTCCCATGCTCCCAGGCTCCCATGCTCCCATGCTCCCATGCTCCCATGCTCCCATGCTCCCATGCGCTTATGTTCACTTGGCCCAATGCTCCATCCTCCCATGCTCCATTCCCCCCTGCTCCCATGCCCCCCTGCTCCCATGCCCCCCTGCTCCCATGCTCCCATACTCCCTACCAGGGAGGGGCCATCTTACAGCAAGTGCTATTGTGGCTCCCTGCCACCTTGCCTGAGCCGCCACACGCACCTGAGCCCCTCACACGTCTGCATCCCCCTGTCCCGTGCGCACCCCTCTCCCCCGTGCATCAGCCAGTCGGCCAGTGCGTGGGGGAGCAAGCTTGTCCAAAGTGCCACACACCCAGCAGCCGCCTCTAGTGCACCACTGCCTCGTGCAGCACCTCTTTACTCCTCACCCTCTCAGTCGCCCCTCAGACAACTACTGCTTTCTGCGCCCCACTGTGTGACCCGCCGGTCTGCGCACTGCCTCACGCCACCCTCTGCTCCCCCCCACTCCTGCGCTCCCATCGGCCCCGCGCCCTCGCTGCCGGAGCCATGGCGGTTGAGTCCACGCCCCTCACACCCTCGGACCCTCCACCCTCCGCAGCTGCGGCGGCGCCTCAGGGGGCTGGGGCGCCTGCCTCAGGGCCGGGAGCGGCAGAGAAGGGGGGCGGCGAGGCAGAGAGCCAGGGGGGTGCAGCGGCAGCGGAGGAGAAAGGGAATGCAGAGGCATGGGGGCCCAAGGGGGAAGCGGCAGCAGCAGAGGGAGAGGGAGAGGAGGCAGCAGCAGCGGTGGTGGCGAAGCACCCACTGCAGCAGCGGTGGACGCTGTGGTTCGACTGCCCGCACCGTGGCAAGAGCGGCGGGTGGGGCACGTCGATGCGGCAGATCTACACCTTCGGCACCGTGGAGGACTTCTGGAGGTGCGTGCTGCTCACTGCAGTGCGTGCTCTGCTTGTGCGTGGTGACTTCTGGAGGTGTGTGGTGACTTCTAGAGTTGCGTTCTGATTCGCCCTCCTGACTGCCAATGCTCACCGCTCGCTGGCTGGCTCTCCTTGGCCGCCCTTATCCACGCGGCAGCTGTGCACGTTTGGTACCGCCAAGGCCTGCTGGAATTGCGTGCTGATTCAACTACGTATTGCGCTGCCACACATGTGTCCTCTTCTCCACACTCTTGCGACCTTCCCCCCAATCCCTCTTTCACTCACTCCTCTCTCACTCCTAACTTCTCTGTCCTCCGATCTCTCTCACTCCTAACTTCTCTGTCCTCCGATCTCTCTCACTCCTAACTTCTCTGTCCTCCGATCTCTCTCACTCCTCACTTCTCTGTCCTCCGATCTCTCTCACTCCTAACTTCTCTGTCCTCCGATCTCTCTCACTCCTATCTTCTCTGTCCTCCGATCTCTCTCACTCCTATCTTCTCTGTCCTCCGATCTCTCTCTCTCCTAACTTCTCTGTCCTCCGATCTCTCTCACTCCTATCTTCTCTGTCCTCCGATCTCTCTCACTCCTATCTTCTCTGTCCTCCGATCTCTCTCACTCCTATCTGAAGGAACTAGCTTTGAAGAGAAAGTATTAAATTGAGTAGGGAGCCAAGAGGCTCTTTTGTACAAAGCAAGGAGCAAGGAAGAGTTGGAAGGGAAGCTCTCCTATTGGCCATAAAGTGGACCAATGGGAGAGGTTGCTTGTAGGGCAAGCAACCACAAAGTGTGGTGCTCTCCGATTGGCCACAATGTGGACCAATGAGAGAGATTGCTTGGAAGGCAAGCAACCACAAATTGTGGTGCTTGGTGATTGGTTGGTTCCTAGGACCAAGGACCATTTGGTTGGAATAGTGCCAACCAAATGTCTAGGACCAAATCCAATCTTGACCAACCCAAATGTGGGGTTGGTCAACCCAACCAACAACCCCCCAATAATTATAATGACTACACCTCCTAATCTAGGCATGCATGTTGTATAGATTTATTTTACAACACTATTTTCTCTGTCCTCCGATCTCTCTCTCCATCCAGTCCTCGTGTGGCCAGTCCAAAGCACCACGCTCACGGCACTCTCCCCCTCCCGTGTGACCTTCCCTGCCCCGACTGTCCTCCCGTGTGGCATCCCCTGCGCGAACCTGCCGTGCCCTGCCGTGTTCCCCCTCCGCCCCAGTCTGTACAACAACGTGAACCCGGCGTCGAAGCTGGGGCTCAAGATGGACATGCACCTCTTTAAGGCGGGCATCGTGCCCAAGTGGGAGGACCCGCAGTGCGAGAAGGGCGGGTCGTGGACCGTCATGTGCCGCACGAAGGAGATGTTCGACCACGTCTGGCTCAACGTGGTGAGTGTGTCTGGCTCAACGTGGTGAGTGTGTCTGGCTCAACGTGGTATGTGTGTCTGGCTGAACATGGTGAGTGCACCACCTGTAACATGTTTAACACCACACGGGTGAGGTGGATGTGGGCAGCATGGCCACCCAAGAAGGGCGGGCCGTGAACAGTCACGTGCCGCACCAAGGACATGTTCGACCACGTGTATGCGGGTAGCATGGCCACCCAAGGAAGGTGGGTCCTGGACCGCCAGTGTAAGGCTCAGCGTGGTATGTGTGTGTGGCTCAATGTAAGGAGTGTGGTTCATCGACTTGGTTTTTGTTCGCCTCCACCTTGCATGTGTGGGGCCATGGCCAAGGCAAGGCGCACCCCATGCTGTCCCTCTCTCAAGCGGTCCTTGCAGTGCTGGAACCTAGGTGCAGCCCAGGCATGCATGAACCTAGGTGCAGCCCAGGCACGCATGAACCTAGGTGCAGCCTAGGCACGCATGAACCTAGGTGCAGCCCAGGCACGCATGAACCTAGGTGCAGCCCAGGCACGCATGAACCTAGGTGCAGCCCAGGCACGCATGAACCTAGGTGCAGCCCAGGCACGCATGAACCTAGGTGCAGCCCAGGCACGCATGGACGCCACAAGCTGAGTGCATGCACCCATTCTAAGTGAGCGCCTAGGGGAGCTTCGCCGGGGGCTCAGGAACTGCGAAGCAGTCTGCCAAGGCGAGGTCCTCCTAGGGGAGCCTGTGAGAAACTGAATTGATGATTGTATTAGGAAAGGAATGGTTATACATAGATGAGGAGTAGGAGGGGGGGGTTTGGTTGGGAGCTTAGTTGCTACAAACGCTCTGGCAGACACGCGTTTAGCGTTCAAACGCTTGCGTTTGAACGCAAACGCCAAACGCACCCAAAAACGCAAACGCTCTCTGGGATTTTTTTCTGGCTGCCCCCCCAAAAAAAATATGAGATTGTCGTTGGAGAATAGCCTTAAGGATAGGTGACTTACATGACATATGAGGATGCTGGCTTAAATGTTAAGCACGGTTCTTTTTTATGAGACAAAATGCTTGCTGGTAGAACCCCCATGTTTCCCCCCTCCCCCACAGGAATCTTGAACCCCTGCCCGGGTAAAAATTTTACCCCTGCCGGGGCAAGCGTTTGCCTAGCGTTCACATACACACTGCCGAGCGTTTTGCGTTCAAACGCTAGCGTTTAAACGCTAACGTTCAAACGCCAAACGCGTTTGTAGCAACTAAGGTTGGGAGGTGACCACGATTATTGGTGACCCCAATAAGTTGAGTTGGCAAACTTATTGGAGGTCCAATGACCCTAGCCAAGATTATTGGTGGGTCCAATAATCTTGGTTGGGATTATTGGGAGTTCCAATAATTGGGAGCCCAACCAATTTGGGAACCCAACAAGGTTGGGAGCCCAACCCCCAAATTGGGTGTATACACCCTAGTGGGGTCCTTATAAAGTACCTAAGACAATGAAACGATGTAGGCTAATAGAATGCAGGGAGAATATTCTAACACAACCCCTTAGCCTACAGAGTGCCATAAGTCTTCAGAAGGTGAGGAGAAGCAACCCATGAATCAGGTATTCCCCTGTGAGGGAGGGGCAAGACCCAGAAGGCGAAGGAGAGCCGCATGGGGACGGCGAGGGAGGGCCTTGGTGAAAATGTCCGCAAGGTTGGCTGAAGAGTCGTCAATCTTGCGGACGGTGAGGTGTCCAGCCTGGACGAGCTCACGAACGAAGTAGTGGCGAAGCTCGATATGTTTGGAGCGACCATGGAAAACGGCCTCCTTCGTGAGGTGGATAGTACTGCCATTGTCACACCAGATGGTGGGACAGGGCAAGGGAGCATCCAGTTCGGCGAGGAGGAAGCTGAGCCACCGCGCTTCCTGGGCCGCCATGGTGACAGCGTAGAGCTGTGCTTCGCAGGAGGAGAGAGCGATCGAGGAGGAGCAGGTGGAGCGCCAGGAAATGAGGCCGCTCCCGAGGGAGAAACCATACCCTTGTGAGCTGCGACGATCGGGCTGAGAATCCGCCCAAGAGGAGTCGCTGTAGCCAGTGAGCTGAGGAGGGGTGGGGCCACCCAAGGTGAGGACATAGTCCTTGGTGCCTTTGATGTAGCGAAGAACGCGCTTGGCCGCTTGCCAGTTCTCGGGAGTGTGTTTGGCTAACATGGTTGATGAAGCCAGGAGAGGGAAATGGGGTAAAGCCAGGAGGTCCGGTGGGGGCCTGCGCAGGAGTAGCAGGAGCAGAGAGGCCGGAGCTCCAGGCGGAGGGAGGGGAGGGTTGCTGCTGAGAGTGCTGGTGCTGCTGAGACTGTTGCAGCTGCTGGAGGAGCTGCTGCAGGAGCTGCTGCGGCTGCTGCTGGGACTGCTGCGGCTGTTGGGTCTGCTGCGGCTGCTGAGTCTGCTGCGGCTGTGGGGACGGAAGGAGGGGCATGACCTGCTGGAGGATCTGTGGAGGGAGGTGCTGTGCGAGGATGTGGTGGAGAGAGGTAGAGGAGGGCTGATAGGCGGGGAGGGTACGAACATCAAAGGGAGTGGGAGGTGGAGTGATAGCGGACCAACGAGGGGGCGTGCCCGTGTTGCCTCGATCAAGCCACTCGTCTGTGAGGGCCTTGAAGCATGTGGTGGTGGCATGGGTGGTTTGGAGGCAGCGCTTACCCTTGTTGGGGCCGTTGCGGATGAGATACGGACACAGGGGGAAGCCGCCGGTGCTGCTGGAACCATTGCTACCCCCGCGTCCTCCACTGCGCCCCCTGCCACGTCCACCACCCGATCGTCCCGCCGAAGTATCGCCACGGCCAGCACCACGTCCTCCTTTTGCTTGGGCAGCATGAGCCGTCGGAGGAGACTGGCGAAGAAGCTCCGCTTCAGTTTTCAGAATCCATGCGGCTACATAGGCGGAGTCGGGTGGGAAGCTGGCGTGGACCTCATTGAACGCCACGCGACGGGCATCGTACATGGGTGTGAGGCCGTCGAGGAGGCGGCAAACGATGAGGGAGTCGGGAAGGGGAGAGCGACGATCGGCAAGGCGTTTGGCAGTGGTGAGGAGGCGGCGCGTGAAGGAGAGGGCGTTGGGGCAGGAGTCAAGGTTGATGTCGAGGAAGGCGCGGTGGAGCGCTAGTAGAGAGTTGGTGTCCTGGAGGTCATAGGTGGCACATAGCTCTTTCCAGAACTCGGGAGCGGAGGAGGGGGTAATTTCGCGTTTGAGGGAGGAAGGAACGCATGCAGACAGGATAGCGAGACATTTGCGGTTGGCAACGTTCCAGGCAGAGTGGCGACGACGGTACTCACGAAAGTCGTCAGCATACTTAGCCGTGGCATCCTTGTGCTGCTGGAGGAGGGTGTTGGCAGCGTCGTGCGCAGCTTGCTCTGCGTCATACGCGTGCTGGAGGAGAGTGTATTCCGCAAAGTCCTTGTCATATTGGTGCTACACGCGAGCCCAGCGATCAGGGTCGTCTCGTCGGTGTAGACCAGCGGGGAGGGCTTGGTGGGGGCCGGTCCCGAGGGGGCCGGAGGTGGGGCGGGAGGTGCAGGGGAGACATCAGCAGGATGCTCTGGGGGCTGCCCTGCGTCAGAGCCAAGGAGAATGTCGAGGAGGCAGTAGTGGTTGATGATTGCGGACCCGAGGACATTGGTAAGGCTCTGGGCAAAGGTAGCCCAGTTGACAGGGACGGCGTCGTCGATGAGCTCGAGGACGTCGATGGTGGAGATGTCGACGGCGAGTGCTTCGGTGGTCATGGTGCAATTGCGGGTGCTGTTGCTGTTGCCGTTGGGGATGAGGGGAGAGGGGAGAAGGAGGAGGGAGGGGAGGGGGGGAAATACGGCTGCTGATGGCTGCTGCAGATGAGGCGGCTGCTGCTGCTGGTGGGGGGAGGAAGGGGAGTAGGAGGAGGTGGAGGGGGGGATGTGGCTGCTGCGGCTGATGAGGGGAGTGGGGAGGAGGTGAAGGGCGGTGGAGGGTGCGGTTGCGGCTGCTGATGCGGTAAGAGATTGCCCAAGGGGTTTAGGCTGATCTAGATCCTCTTTTGGATGGAATCGACTCAGCACACACCCTACTCAACTTTGAAAATCGCGAACACCTCCAACCCAAGCAAATTTTCGCCAGCACCCTCATCCCACACGAACTTTCGCCAGCATCCTCATCCCACACGAATTTTCGCCAGCACCCTCATCCCACACGAATTTTCGCCAGCACCCTCATCCCACACGAATTTTCGCCAGCACCCTCATCCCACACGAATTTTCGCCAGCACCCTCATCCCACCCGAATTTTCGCCAGCACCCTCATCCCACACGAATTTTCGCCAACACCCCCAACCCACTCGAATTTCGCCAACGCCTCTAAACCACTCGAATTTTCGTCAACACCCCAAACCAACTAAAATCTTGTAAGCACCCCCCAACCACCGATTTTCGCCAACACCCCCAAACACGAGGAATACGTAGCGGATCTTGAAATTATGAGAAAAGAAGCTTGTAGTCGCTGCATAAGTCATTATAACTTAGGCTGCTCTGGATGCCCTTCAAAAAAGGACGTGTCGCCGTACCCGTGGTCGGGTCGGGTCGACCCGACCCGACAGCGGGTCAGGTATGACCCGACCTGTTTTTGTCGGGTTGGGTTGGAAGAATCCTAGGGTCGACCCGACCTTGACCCGACCCGACCCGACCCCAACCCGACCACGGGTCAGCCAAGTCGGGTCGGGTCGGGTCGGGTCAGGTAGATGCTCAAGCCTAGGAGCGCCGCGTCGAAATGCGGCCGAGCGCCGCGTCGAAATGCGGCAGGAGCGCCGCGCGAAAACGCAGCGACTAAGGGCGCGAGGAGGGGCGCTTAAGGGCGCGGGGAGGGGCGCATAAGAGCGCGGGGAGGGGCGCATAAGAGCGCGGGGAGGGGCGCTTAAGGGCGCAGGGAGGGGCGCTTAAGGGCGCAGGGAGGGACGCTTAAAGGCGCGGAGAGGGGCGCTTAAGGGCACGGTGAGAGGCGCGTTGGGCGCGAGGTGGCTAGGGATCGAACGAAGAGGCGTGAGCCATAAGCTCTGAAACCATGTGAGAAACTGAATTGATGATTGTATTAGGAAAGGAATGGGTATACATAGGTGAGGAGTAGGAGAGGGGGGTTTGATTGGGAGGTGACCACGATTATTGGTGACCCCAATAAGTTGAGTTGGCCAACTTATTGGAGGTCCAATTATCCTAGCCAAGATTATTGGTGGGTCCAATAATCTTGGTTGGGATTATTGGGAGTTCCAATAATTGGGAGCCCAACCAATTTGGGAACCCAACAAGGTTGGGAGCCCAACCCCCAACTTGGGTGTATACACCCTAGTGGGGTGCTTATAAAGTATCTAAGACAATGAAACGATGTAGGCTAATAGAATGAAGGGAGAATATTCTAACAGAGCCCACAGGGGGGTAGTCACCCAGGGCCGCCTTGTTAACCGTTTTCAGGTAAGAGGACGGCTGTCCGCTCTGGAGAGCGACGGACCAACGCTGGCGGAACTGGTGCACCATTTTAGCGGCCTGGTGAGTTGAGGGGCCTGCATGGAACAGCTTCCTGGCCGCTGCATCCGCCAGGAGCTTTAGGAAGGCCGGGACCTCCCAGCAGGGGCAGCCATACGTCTACGTGTCGACTGCCATAGGGAAGACATATGCTGCCCGGGTCTGGTAGTGGTCGAATTTGTCATCGGCCTGCTCTCTCGCTGCCCGCCCGTGGCCCTTGCAAGCATGTGGGTCACGGCGTCCGATTGGATCCGTGACCGTGACGTCACACATCCAAACGGCGCCGGTGTCCCCATCCCCGATCGCTTAGTCCGCCTTCTGGCCGTCAACCGGGCAGAAGATCGTCGTCTCCTTGTAGACGATGCATCCCTCGTCTCGGCCCATCCGCACGGCTCGCAGGCAGCTTGGCTTCCCAGGAGGCGAGCCAGGTGTGCAGAGACGAGGGGGACAGGAATGGGGGAGCGAGGTGCTGGGCGGCTGCGTGGAGGGGGCTGTGTGGCGCAGAGCGCAGGGCGGGCAGCAGGGCATGCAGTGCGTGATGCCTGTGATGAACGCCAACCCGCCTTCCACCAGGGGGTCCGCCAGTCCGAGGCCCCCTAGCGAGGGTGGTAAGGACGCTTGGGCCCAGGTCCGGATCCACCGATCCCCGAGGCAGCTGCAGCGCGCAGGCCCGCAGGAGGGCGTGGAAGGGTGACCGCCCCCACTCGGACCACTCGGAGTCAAGGAGCAGGTCCAGGGGTGTGGTGCGGACGAGGTACGCCACACGGCGGGACACACAGCGCTGGAGCTGAAGTGATGCCACATGGGGGTCCAGCTTAGTGATGAGGAGTAATGAGGCGGCAAGTTTTTGCAGGTGGGTGCGACGGAATGTAGCGGTGCCATCACGTGGGCCAATGTGGCTCCCCAGGGCTCGCAGCCCCTCCGCGCACAAGGGGATGCCCTGCGGGAAAGTTCCCGGGGAGGAGGGGGGGGGGGACGGGGGGGGCATGGACCAGGCGGCGCACTTCGGGGTTGTGCACCAGCTCGAGGGGTCGCAGGGCGTCAGTGAAGTATGTGAATGCCGCGCTGGATGCGGACGGCACACCAAGGAAGGTGACGTCGTCCGAATACGCGAGGCAGAGTACTGCTGGGAAAGCGGCCGCCGTCGCGCCAAGAGCGGGATGGATGCCCGCGGCGAACAAGAGGGGACCCAACTGTCCCCCTGGCGCACGCCAGCGGTCCCCCTGGGGCACGCCACCGGTCCCCCTGGCGCACGCCACCGGTCCCCCTGGCGCACGCCACCGGTCCCCCTGGCGCACGCCACCGGTCCCCCTGGCGCACGCCACCGGTCCCCCTGGCGCACGCCACCGGTCCCCCTGGCGCACGCCACCGGTCCCCCTGGCGCACGCCACCGGTCCCCCTGGCGCACGCCACCGGTCCCCCTGGCGCACGCCACCGGTCCCCCTGGCGCACGCCACCGGTCCCCCTGGCGCACGCCACCGGTCCCCCTGGCGCACGCCGCGTTCGCTAAGCAGCGGCGGGCTAGCGAAGCCAGCATCGAGGAGCAAGGTGGATGGGCGGCCATAGGAGAGGCGCGTAAGCGGTAGAAGATGTGACAGGGGAGAGTTTGCTACCGCCTCGACAATGGCAGCCCGGCCAATGCTGTTGAAAGCAGTGGGCAGGTCGACCTGGAGTATCATTGCGCTGGGGTTGATGTCAACAAAAGCGTGGGCAGTGTGGACGATCGCCTCACTGCCGCCCGGGATGGCGATGCCGAACTGGTGCGGCAGGAAATAACCCTCCTTCTCTCTCTGTGCCCCCCCCCTCTCCCCTTCCTCCCGCCCTCCCAGCTGCTGGCGCTGATAGGCGAGCAGTTCACGGAGGGCGCGGACATCTGTGGCGCCGTGGCCAACGCGCGGCAGAACAAGGACCGCGTGGCCATCTGGACCAAGACGGCCAGCAATGAAGCGGTGCAGGTGGGTGCCAGTGATGAAGCAGTGCAGGTGGCAACGAGGCGGTGCAGGTAGGTCGCAATGGGCAAGGGCCGCTCGGCCATCTGAGACTGCTAGAAATGAAGACCCAAGGACACAGTCAGGTCGGTTCACTTCCTAAGTTTACTTACGGAAATTTGTCTCACTTCATTGTTCAACCTCCCTCTCTTCCCCCACTCCGTCCCTCCACCTTTTTCCCAAGCCATGTCTTTCCCCTCTTCCCCGACCCCCCTTCCCACCTACCCTCCCGCCTCCTCTCTCCTCGCCTCTCCTCCAACACCCCCCTCCTTCCCCACCTCTCTCCTTCCCCCCCCTCCCCCCCTCTCTGCCTCGCTCTCTCTCCCACCCCTTCCCTCCCTCCCCACCTCACTACTCGCTTCCACACCCCTCCCTCTCAGATGAGCATAGGTGGCAGCTAAATGCGACTCGCAGCACCTCGATTCCTCTTTTCTCCTTTCGATTCGTTTCACTCCTGCCTCCCCACCTCTCTCTCTCTCCCCCTCCCTTCCCCCTCACTCACTCTCCCCTCCCCCCCTCCCCCCCCCCCCCAGATGAGCATAGGGCGGCAGCTGAAGGAGATCCTCAACATCTCCGATCGAATTGCATTCTCCTCCTTTGTGAGTCGCCCCTCTTGTCTTGTGTGAGTCGCCCCTCTTGTCTTTTGTGAGTCGCCCCTCTTGTCTTGTGTGAGTCGCCCCTCTTGTCTTTTGTGAGTCGCCCCTCTTGTCTTTTGTGAGTCACCCCTCTTGTCTTTTGTGAGTCGCCCCTCTTGTCTTTTGTGAGTCGCCCCTCTTGTCGTTTGTGAGTCGCCCCTCTTGTCTTGTGTGAGTCGCCCCTCTTTGTCTTGTGTGAGTCGCCCCTCTTGTCTTTCGTGAGTCACCCCTCTTGTCTTCTGTGAGTCGCCCTTCTTGTCTTTTGTGAGTCGCCCCTCTTGTCTTTTGTGAGTCGCCCCTCTTCCCGCTGGCTTCTCGTAAGCACCCTTGCCTGATCCCTCCAGCTCGTTCCTTCCCTTCCATCGTGCACCGCCTGTGCTGTGCATATGAAGTGCATGTGCTGTGCATGTGCATGTGCTGTGCATGTGCTGTGCATGTGCTGTGCATGTGTTGTGCATGTGCTGTGCATGTGGCACAGTGCCAGTCAGCGTGCCACTCTGCCGTGCACTCCTCACCTCGCACCTTGCCCCTCGCTAATGCGCATTGCTGCCTTCCACCATCCACCATCCACCATCCACCATCCACCATCCACCACCCACCATCCACCATCGACCATCCGCCATCCACCATCCACCATCCACCATCCACCATCCACCATCCACCATCCACCATCCACCATCCACCATCCACCATCCACCATCCACCATCCACCATCCACCATCCACCATCCACCACCCACCATCCACCATCCACCATCCACCATCCACCATCGACCATCCATCATCCACCATCCACCATCCACCATCCACCATACACCATACACCATCCACCATCCACCATCGACCATCCACCCTCCACCATCGACCATCGACCATCGACCATCCACCATCCACCATCCACCATCCACCATCCACCATCCACCATCCACCATGATTCATGATCCATGATCCATCATCCATCATCCATCATCCATCATCCATCATCCATCATCCATCATCCATCATCCATCATCCATCATCCATCATCCATCATCCATCATCCATCATCCGTCATCCATCATCCGTCATCCATCATCCGTCATCCATCATCCAGCATCCGTGATCCATCGTCCATCATCCATCATCCGGCATCCATCATCTATCGTCAATCGTCATCCATCATCCATCGTCCGTCATCCGTTGTCCATCATCCATCATCCGTCATCCATCATCCATCGTCCATCGTCCATCGTCCATCGTCCATCGTCTATTATCCATCGTCCCACCTCCTCTGCACACTCCCTTGCAGGCGGATCAGAAGGTGTCATCCAAAGCCGGCCAGGGCTACTTCGCCTGATGCATTGAGCGGCTGCCCTTGTGGTCTCAATCGTTGCTACAGCAGCTTAGTAACACAATTTATCGTTGGTTCTTTCTTCCACTCATAAACACAGCTAGGGTTTTATTTTTTAGAAAATGCAGTCAGGTATAGCAAACAGCTTTATGATATGATATCAGTCTACTGAGCATAGGTGCAATTTACTTGCTTGCTGCCAAGCATCACACACAAGGCTGTCGTTATCAGGGTATTTTACCCTGATTCCCTGATTTCACAGGGTATTTTTTTGGCCAACCCTTAATTTTCAGGGTTGGGTTTTTTTTAACCCTAACCTCTTCAGGGTTGTATGTTTGTGAACACTGAAAATTTCAGGGTTTGCGTTATCCCAACACTGAGTTTTCAGGGAGTAACGCGTACGAACCCTGAATGCGACATCCATGCGGACCCTGAGTTTCCTCGAAATGGCCCCCTTACGCGTGACGGGGCCCAGTCCATTGAACACGCCCAGCATGCGTCACGTGGGGAATCTGCACTCGGCAAGATTCCCGCCGTGTACACGCTGTATGTTGCCATTATAGCAACATTTGCAACCGTCAACTGGCATTCGTGACTCAGCACGCAGCAGACGAGGACAGAATATGATGAGCGCGGCAATGTCAGCCTCTGTATGACATCACCCCGCCAATCATCGCTGTGCACACGATGCCAGCGCAGGTGCGTCTCGCCGTTGACGTTATTGCCATGGCGATACGGGAACCTGGATGGGTTATGCACCATCCATGAAAATCGAAAGATGGTGCTTCTTGGTCCTCTTCCCGTCTTCTTCACCAGCTCCTCCTCCAACCCAGTTTTTTTCTGTTCTTCACGTCCCAGCTACGAGATGCTCCAGTCTTCTGTCTCCTCTAGTTTCGTCGCGCCGATTTCTCATTTCCATCATATCCGCCGCTTCTAGCCATGGCGGATGTAGGAGACTCTGGTGAGTCTCCCACTGCCAATGATGGTTCTGGACTAGGTAGGGACCCCCCCGTGGAGGTCCGTAGATCCGCTCTAGACATCTTGCGGTCTCCCACCGCAGTCGTTACACCATCACAACCCGTATCTACTCCCGCCGCTCCCTATGTACCTCCGCCCGCAGTCGCCTCATCTAGCCGGGGCCCTTTGGTTCCAGACTGCGAGACAGCCACGACCGTGCGTTACACGGTCGAGTGTGCGTCGACGATTTCATCTGGGAAGAAAGCACGCGTCAGGAAGTACACCCAGAGCACAATAGTCCTCGGCGGGAAGCTACATCGACGGTCGCCGCCTCGCACGTCGCCTGAACCTCAGGCCCCTGGTATTCCAGAACCCGAGCCGCCGAATCTCTCAAAGAAGGAACTCATCGAGCAGAAGTATCTCATGGCTGAGCACAAGTATAAGACCAGCTGGCTTCCATTTTTCCCTTGGCTTCTGCTAACGAAAACGAAAGACGGTTACCCTGCTTTGAAGTGCAGTGTGTGCAAGGCTTTCGGCAAAGAGACAACACCGTACTCCAACAGCCGCGACGAGGCACGTGACCTGCAGACGCAAGCGATGCGGTTCCACGAACACACGACAGCCCACGAAGTAGCAGTCAAGCGTCACATGGAGATCGCCGAAGACATCGCCAGCACCCAGAGACGCATGGAGAATTACGCGCGGACTGACATCGAGGGGAAGCGTGTCATGAGGCTCCTACGCTGCGTCGACTTCCTGTGCAAGTGTGATGCACCCATCAGCATGTACCCGAGGCTACTCCGCTTCATGGCCGAGCAGGAGACACCGGACATTCCGCTGCAGTCTTACGGAGTCTACCTGGCACGGTAATGCACTTATTCGAAGTACACCATGTTCTTCATTTTTCATAAAGGTCTAACCAACACCTTGCTGTCACTTCTGCTACTACAGGTATGGCTTCTGTCAGCTCGTCAGCAGCCTGGCAACCTACCTGCAGCGCCGACAAATGCAATACATTCTCGCCTCACCCTACCTCGGCATCAGCTGCGACGAGAGCACTGACCGTACTCGCGGTAAACATCTTATTGTTTATCTGACCTTCTTGCGTGCGCATCGTGTTGTCACCGAGTTTTTTGCTCTCCTGACCGTCGAAAAGTGCGATGCCGCGTCTCTCCTCGCCGTTCTTCTGGCTCACTTGCGAGCAACTGGCATCGACCTCTCCCGAATCACCGGCATGAGCACCGACGGCGCCTCTGTCATGGTCGGCCGAGACAATGGTCTCGTCGCCCGACTTCGCGAGCACATCCCCCACCTCGTCTCGTCGCACTGCATCGCCCACAGGTTTAACCGCTTGTCATTTCAGTCGCTTAGAGTTCCTACAACTGCTTGTCTAAAATTCCTTCGTGTGCACCATGCAGGGAAGCCTTGGCGGTGAAGGACGCGGCCACTGCTTCTCCAGACTTCGACATGGTCGACCTTGTGATTCGGACTCTGGCCGATCTTCTGGGACGTTCCTGTGTGTGGAGTCAACGCTTCAAGTACCTGCAGCGGGCAATACACAACACCAGCCTTGAAGTGCAAGGAATTCACACCGTGCGCTGGCTTTCAAGGGGTGAGGCTGTGAGGCGCCTCTGTAAGGTCCTTGGCGCCGCTATCATTCTCTTTTATGAGTACGGGCATGAGCTGTATGAGGTCGTCATCTGTTACAAGTTCCAGTTCTGTCTTTTTTTCCTGGCGGACGTGCTCGGAGTGATGAATGTGCTCAACCTCAAATTCCAGAAGAGGGAGGTGAGCTTCTATCCCTGTTAATGTTTTTGTCCCATGCATCCACGTTTGGAATCACCCTCTGACTCCACTCCCTTGTCTGTCATTTCCATCAGGTCGATGTCACCGAAGTGACAACGGACATCGACGAGGCGACAGGGGACCTCCGCCACCGCTACTTGGAGTGCGGAGAGGTGTTCGGTGGGGGTGTCGAAGGCACGTGGCTTTCGGCTTTCTTGGCGGTCTACGGGCGCGGAGGGGGCAAACGCGTAAAGGTGCGGGGCATCGACAAAGACGGCAACCCAGTCACGCACACCTACACCATGCACGAGAAGCAGATCGACGGGCATGCCTTCCGCAGCAAGTACCCCGATTGCGAGCGGCTCTGCGCGCAGTTCGCGAAGGACACGATAAGCTTCCTGAAGACGAGGATGCTGGACCTGAACAATCTCGGCCCGACGAAGCTCTTCCGCGTGTCGAAGTGGCCCCGGATGAAGCAGCAGAGAGAGAAGAAGCTGAAGGAGTACCTACATGGCTGCAGTGCCTTGTTCGACAACAGGCTGACAGGCTTTTCCTTGCAAGCTGCGCAGAAGGAGCTGGTCACGTGGGCGCCACTGATGCTGAGCCACCATGCCAACGAGGGATTCCATCAAGGCCTGACGAACTACCTCGGCTCGAAGGAGTCGACCTTGTGAGAGAGTGCTGCTCGAAGGACGATTGTTGCATTTTTTTTTTGCGCTTTTATTCTTCCCTTTGGATGTTGTTTATCGATTGTTGACTAGCATCGCTAATGCACTGGTCTTGTTCCATGTACTCTATTCCCCCAACCCTTTTGGTAGTCGCTGGCCCAACCTCATGCGCTTGTGGCAGGCGTGCGCTGTCCTGCCGCTGAGCACAGTGGAGTGTGAACGAGGCTTCTCGCGGCAGAACGTCGTCAAGTCATGGGTGCGGGGCGCGTTGTGCAATGCGCGCCTCAGCGAGCTGATGGTCATTTCCCTGCTGCAGTACGAGACTGACTGGGACGAGGCCCTTGAGTGGTGGCGCGAAAAGCTGAGGCGCCCTGCTAAGTCTGTTCTGTTTGCCGCAGCGGAGAGGAAGCGTAAGGCGAAGGCGATTGAGGGGGCAGAAGTGAGGGTGGAGGAGGAGGCAGTCCCCGACTACATAGGGGATTGGGCAGAGGATGAGGGAGAGGGGGAGGGGGGAGTGGGGGGAGAGGCTCCTCCTGAAGTGGAAGACAACCCGTTTCTGTCCGATGACGAGGCAGAAGACGAAGTGAACATGGATGGCCCAGAATTTTAGTCAAGTGTAGGTAGTGGCGTGGAATCTTGTGAAGTCTAGACTAGATAGAGGACTTGTAAACTGGCGTGGCGTAGTGGTGCTTTTACTTAACTAGTGGTGCTTTTACTTAACTGTACATTCCTAGTTGATTTTTTCCAAGTGCAATGCAACCCTGATTGTTGATAGCCAACCCTGGAGATTTCAGGGTTGTAGGTTCTAGAACACTGAGAAATCAGGGAAGTCAAAATTCCAACACTTGGCCCTCAGGGTAAATTTTTTTCCACATTCGACAGCTCAGGGTGCTATTTTTGAAACGTCAGCCCTGATGACACATTCTCTGATTCACAAGTCTCTGCACCCCTCTTCCTGCCCCGCTCCTTTGTCCCCACGTACTCAGCCCTTCCACTCCTTCCCCTCACCACATGCACTGCACTTGAACACACCCACCTCCGCACCCCCCTCCGCCATTCCGCTGCCATACACGTCAACGTGCGTCAGTGCTCTCGCGTGCCTCAGCGACTCCAGCAAGCACCTGAGCGCCACACACTGGCGCAGGTGAAGCACCTCAAGGCGGGGCAGCACGCCCCTATGGGGCGGCAGGGAGGGAGTGAAAGCGCCTGCAGGGGCTGAAGCACGCCACGTGGAGGGCGGGGAAGGATGCGGGCAGGTGGGTGAAGGACTCGCACTCTGAAAATTTCAGGCGATGCATAGAACCAAAACCGTCGGGGAGAGTGCATATGTCTGGGCACTTTCTGATTCTGAGGTGAGGTAGATGAGGGAGTGAAGGGAGACAGAGACGGGCAGATGGTGAAAGCTTGTGCATGAGTCGATGGAGTGGCATCCAAGGGAATGCAGAGCGCCAAGAGTGGCAGGAAGTGAGCGCAGGTCGTCACAGGTGGTGAGGGTGAGTGTGCGGAGGCGAGAGAGCAGGCAGAAGGAGGGCGGCAGGGCAGCCATCCAGCTTCTGAGCATCAGCTCCTCAAAGCAGAGAGCCCGCCAAGCCCGTCAGGCAGTTGCCTGGGGTTGTGGCAGTTGAGGCGGAGCATCTTCAGGCACCGCAGCTCGCACAGGGATAGCTGGAGGGCCTCTCCAGCACTGCCAGCTAGTCCAGGTTTTCTGGGAGAGAGGCAAGGTGGTGAGATTCGATGCAGAGGGTGCGGAGGGAGGCGAGAGCGAGCACGGACGGGGGATGCGGGAGGCCGTGATGGGCAAGATGCAGCACCTTGAGCACCGTGAGGTGCGCCAGGGACGACGCGGGAAGGGAGAGCGAGCCCGGGGGGAGA